TTCTGTATTTCATTTTATTTTGCTATATCTGACTGAACAACTATTGTGAAGATAACGAGATATACTATGGGTTCCTATTACTGTTATCCCGGTAACCTGCTTGAAGTTCTATACCAATTTCACTATACTGTCTAAATTGGCTTTGTTCCATCTCGTTCTGTTGTATTTTATTACCTTCAAAATAATAAAAAAATTTATAAAGAAAGAAACAATACTTGTTGTTTAGTAAGAAAAGGTGAGACCCAAGAAGGCAAACATTTTATGTAAACTGGTAGTTAAGAAGGAGGGAGGAAGGAGATCTACCACATACCTCTCCATCTTCCATCTCAATACACAAGTACACACTGCTGAGGGAAAGTTTCACTGTATCTACAATTCACAGGAAAAAAGCTAACTACAATACAGAACCAAAATAAACACACACTAGTAGTTTATATACAATGTATTTAATGGTTTTGTGCTTAAAAGTCTTTTTTTTTTTTTTTTTGGCTTCTTTTCTTTTTTAATATCACCTTCCTCAAGGTAGAATAATAGACAGGAGTAATGTAGATGGTCCTGTACAGGTCTAATGATGGGAACTGTTTTTTTTTGTTGTTGTTGTTGTTGTTTTTATTTAAGGAGAAAAAAAAAAGCAAAGAAAGGGTACAAGTTATACAGATTTACAGAAAAAAAAAATCAACAGTAGGAAATCACTAGTTAATGGATAACATATTGTCATCTTAGAAATAATTGTTCAAGTCACAAAATTAAAGCTTGTAAAATGGACATTCCAACAATGATACTGCAAACAGTTCTGTTCAATGATCCAATAAAACTCTGTGATATCATTTTCTATCTTATACACTTAAATATACATGCAGTTATATAGTTTAGAGCACTTTCTTTTCCTCTCTTTTGTACAATGACTATTACACATTTTGGGTTTCATTGCTCCCACGGTTCTTATTACTTTTTTGGAAGAGAGTAAAACCAAATGTGACATAACAGAACAGAATCGGTCAAGTCAAAAAGGTGGACATAATAGATAATGTAAAAACATAATACAAGGTGATCAACAATGGTTACCATAATGCCTCCCGCTATCACTAATAGAATTGCCTATATCATTAGTTATAATAAAATTGAACAAAACAGTAAAGAACAAAACCGACAGAACCAAAACATTGGAGACATTGTAGGTCTTCAAAAGTAGATAAAAGTCAACGAGAATGGGTGTTATAATGAATCTCATTATCTTCATAGCTGATGCCTAAACTTTCGAACCTGATACTATCCAGCAAAACAGAATAGGGGAACATCAGTCAAAAACAAGATGGTGAGAGTAATACAGGGCTTTAAATCGAGATAATGGAAAGTCAAAGTGGGTTACTATTATATATCCTGCTATTTTTATTTATTTTTCCTTTAATTAAAAGGATAAAAATAAAAAAGTAAATAATGGAGTGGAGATTGAGATAAAAGAGGGCATAACAGCGAAACAGCGCAGATCAAAACATAACCATTTAAGCAGAATAGTGTTTCACCACCAGATAATCCTGACCTAAAAGTAGTTACCATATTGTCTCTTTCCTTGAAATCCTTGAGTATAACTTCGTATACTGTAGCATTAAATATATCAAAACAATGTAAAACCATTTAAGAGAATGACAGCATTACAGAGTATTTAGAATCGACTAACAGAAAATGAACAATGGTTTCTGTATAATCTCTTGTCTTTAAAAGGTTTTTGCTTATACTATCGTACATAATAAAATCCAATAAGATACAACCTATTTAGACCATTGCAGACTGTTAACATTTAGACAGCACAAAGAAAAGGAAGATTGCATCTAGGACAAAACACAAATGAACTCAGTTATGCGAGTCAGTAGGTAGATGTGTGCCTGGCTTCCCACAGAGAGCATGTAAAAGAAAGAAACAAGGAACACTCTGGTGTGAGATGAGAGCAACACCACACAAAGATCATACCTGCTAACTATGGTATCTAATAGCCAATGTTGAGTACTGCACTGTACCTTACATAAATGTTTATTTACTACTAATTCAAGCTATGTAGGTTTGATTTGTTTTGTGCTACTTACTATCTGTAAGATCCAAGGTAAGTTATTCAAGTTTCATTATATGTAAAATAAGAGCTCTAATAGTAAACACTTTTATTAGAAAGGAAAGAAAGGAAGCAGAATGGGTAATTCACAATAGCTGGGATCATGACTTACTAAAAAGTTTCTGCATGTCAAAAGAAATCTCTAGCACAGTGAAAAGAAAACCCACAACTGGGAAAAAATCTTAGAGAACTGTCCCTCACACAAAGGACTTCTCTCTAAAACATATAAGTAATCTAAAAAAAATCAGACCCCCAAAATTCAAAGACCCAATCCAAAAATGGGCATCTGAGATGAATACACAGTTCTAAATTGATAGGGGAAAGGAGGGAAGATGTGAAGGAAAGCACAATGGTAGATGATCGTAAGTATTATTTAGTTGTTTTCAAGTTTTATTCTGCATAACACCTAAGGAAATTATTTAGCCCAAACCCATGAATTCTAATTTGTTAGCTGAAGAATGAATCCAAAGTCTACACTCCAGCAAACATCCCAAACACGACCCTGAAGCAAGTAGTTCACATTTCAAAACTTAGTACCACACCATACAGTAGTGTGTGATGCAATTTTTAAAAATCTTTACATGCAAAATTAAGTAAAAAAATAGAAGTACTGTTTCTAAGTAGTAAGACTTATCGGAGCTTCAATAACATTTGAATTCTCATGAGTGAGAAAAATAACCATACTGCATATCTTAAAATTATTGGAGTGTAATCCTTTCCATAGTATTTAATCCACCAATATCTCTAAATCTAAAAAACTTCAGACAAGAAACATAAAGAAAAGAATAAAATGAAAGGAACTGGACTAAGCAAAATTAAGAGTTTCCTTATAATTCTCATACAGAAAAGCAATCCGGTAAAGGAGGCTAAAAATATAACTTAAAAGATGCTCTTTTAAGTAACACAACTATAGACAAACTCTGATTGGACATAATATCACGATTATGTACATAATTTCCCTCTATAACTCTAAATTTAAAGATGATAATACTGGTCAGAAGGATTTGTTTAACAATTAAAAAACTGGCAACATACTGTTTCAAAAGAGAATAATCTTGACAGGCAGACATATGAATAAGAGCTTTTCTCTAAGATCTTAAAAATAATTTATAATTCCATTGAATAGCTATAGAAAATATTTTAGAAATAGAAATTAGTAGGTTTATTTTAAAAGGAAATATTCTCTCTAGTTCATACATAAACAGATGAATTTTAAAGCTGAACAAGAAATGTTTTAAACCATGGGAATTATAAGTAAACTATTTCATGATAATTGAAATATATTTCAATTAGAAGTACTGTTTGAATAAGTACTGTTTGATAATTGAAATATATTTCAATTATCTAAGGTATAGCAATTCCCAGATTTATTTTACCAATTTCAATGAACTTCTAACACAGAAGTGCATGAAGTAGTCTAATTGATATCCCTTAAAGACTTTTAGCTGATAAAAAAATTAGGGGTTACTATGGATTTTTAAAACATAGAATCTTTTTAAAAAAATTGTAACAAATGAGAAAAAATGAAACAGGTAACAAATCAAATGATGACAACTAACCCTAATAATATCTTTATATCTCCCTCAGGGAGATCTAGATTTTGGAAACAAGCATGGTGACAGAGGCCTCACTGCAAGATCAAAGCCAGCCTGGCTACAAAGTGATTCAAGGCCAGCGGAACTGCACAGCAAGACCCTCTCTCAAAAAAACAACAAACAAAACGAAGATCTAGATTTTAAAAATTACCTGCCTTGGCTCAAGGAAGAAAAGAAAACAAATTCTCCAAGAATTCATAAGTGTGAGCTAGCCTTTACAGGTTCAGAGCAGAAAATTATATAGTGATATTATGAACAACTCCTATCTTTTACTTAAAATAGTCTTACATTGATACAGAACCCCAAGCATTTGATTATGATAAACACAACTTCTGGAAGAAAGACTTAAAGCCTGGCCTTAAAGACTCTTCAATGAGGTAGAAGTTTGAAAAAACATTTCCAGTTACATTTTCCAGAAGAAGAAATACAATTTACCAAAAATTCATGAATAAATGTTCAAGATCTTTAGTGCTGATGCAAATGCAAACTACGAAGACAACGTATTTTTCTTCCTTGCATGTCTTTGGAAGCACTAAACACTGTTCGTGGAACAACAGAAACGTTATCCATAATAGGCATGCGTGTACATGAGCAAGGGAAACATGACGTTATCCAGCAAGTAACCATGCAGACAGCTTAACACATAGAAAATCTATGCTTAGTATACACTGTAATTCGTTTTACCTTGCCACAGGAGACATTCACAAGAATATCCACCACAAAGCAATAATAAAACACAGAAACTAACTACCCCATCAAAAAAATGATACACCAAACAATGATCTATTCTTTCAATAGAAAAGTAAACATCAGTTAAAATAAATGAGCTACAATTACATGAACTAGTAAGCATGAAACAAATCCATACAACACTGGTCAAAATATCAAGTTAAAGAAGAAAAGTTTGATTTCTTTAATATAAAATTCAAACTTCTAGACTGAATTATGTATTTTTTGGTTACAGGTATGAACTGTAATCATAAAACAAGAGATTAGAGAAAGACTGCTGAGGGATCTATAGGAATCACCAAAGCTCTGGGAATTTCCGATCTTTTAAGCTGAGTGGTAGATACACTGGATGCTCATTATTATTATGCTTTCAACTAAATATATAAACCACAAACTCTCTGGGAAAAACAGTATATTTATAATTTAGAAACATAAATAAAAAAAGTAATTTCTTTCTTTAGGTCCTAAGTATATGTTCAAGTCTTAAGTATATGTTTATCCTCCACTTTCTCAGCCCCTCAAATTAGTAGTCAAAATGTTATTGTAATTGTTAAAAATAAGAAATAAATTACCGTGTTTCTCATTGGAATCTTCTTGGGTTCTGGTGGCACATCCTGTGGAACAAATTTCACTGGTTCCTTAATCTGCCTCCGTGACCGTTTAGTTCCATCTGGTAAGGTTTCCATGGCCATGTCTGCTTCCATGTCACTGCTCCCTGCCTGGTCACATTCTGAGCACTGCCTGTATAAAAGAAAAGTACGAATGATATATTTATTATCTTTGGCTTTAACTATAATTTCTGTAAGTACAAAAATACAGAAATGCACATGGACTCCTTTCAGAATGACTAACACGAAATATAAAGTAACTCAATGTACTCCTGTAATTATCGTAAGAATTCATGCAACAAAGCTGCATGTGTGCGTAACAATATAGCAACAATTTATTTATTTGTTTGTTTATTTTTATGAGGGGGTTACCAGGGATCAAACTCATAACCTTGTGCTTGCCAGGCAAGTGTTTATGCCACTGAGATAAATCCTCAGCCCCAGCAGTAATTTAAAAGATAGCTTCACTTTGGAAATTGTGACTTTTCTTTAAGTGACACAAGACTATGACATCTCAGAATTATAATCCTTCATGATCCTGACTCTATGCCTTGTCACAGTTATGGCAAGCTGTGCTAAAAACACCACTTAAAGAAAATTCTATAGAAAAAAATCTCTGGGAATGGTCATTTTAGTTGGTTATCCATGTTACTTCTAAAAGAAAAAATATAAAAATTTATCTACTAAAGTAAGGTGTTAAAGCAGCATTTATGAAGCACTATTACTATTTTTAATATCAGACAATTATTGATATTAAGACTTCAGATTAGACCACAATAAACTCTTGAACTTTTCATGCTGCTAGAATTGCAACCATGAGCCAGACATGGCTACTCAGCCCTTAAAATGTGGCTGGTAAAACTCAGAGCTTGAATTTAATCAATTTAAATAGCTACATGTATCTAGTGCCTAATTTTTGAAAACCGAAAGCTAGAGAATGACTGCTTAAAATCTTTATATTGTCGGGCCATGGATTTAGCTCAGTGGCTTAAGCATCTGCCTGGTAGGCACAAGGTCATGAGTTTGATCCCCAGTACCAAAAAAAAAAAAAAAAAAAAAAAACAAAAAACTTTATATTGTCAGTCATAAAGCCCATTTTGAAAGTTTACAGTCAGTGGTTAAAAATTTTACTCATATATTTTCTTCAAACTTAAAACAATAATCAGACCAAAGAAATTTTCCAAAAGTCTTATTTGTAGTGTTCTCTTTATGAAAATCATTATACTGTAATACATAAAAAGGTATGTGTTTGTATTAGTATATATAAATGCAACATATTTCAAATATTCATAAAGATTTCTTATCATGTAATTCATCGTCCATCAAAATTTATCCCTCCCATTCATAAACTATAAGCTTAATATCACTCTAACACTCGGTTGTAAAAGTGAAAGCTTTCAATTCTGAATTCTAACCACAGACTTAGCTATAAAGAATCATTAAATATTTTTAGGGTTAATGTTAGGGCTGAATTATTGGGAATTCAAAAAGACATTCTAATGAGGTGGTATAAACATAATATTACTAAAGTTTACAAAGTTATCAACTATTTGAGCTACTCTAATAAATCAAGCCTATAGTATTTTCTTATATTCCACTAGACTTGCCTTAGAAACAATCTAAATCTGGGCATGGTGGTATACCCCTTGTAATCCCATAACTTGGGCACCTGAGGCAAGAGGATCGCAAGTTTGAGGACAGCCTGGGCTATATAGGGAGTTCAAGGCCAGCCTGGATTACATGGCAAGATTTTGTCTCAAAAAAGCATAAAATAAAATAGGCTGGGAATGTATGTTAGTGTAAAGGGCTTGGTCAATCGCTAGTACCATTAAATTAAGAATTTAAGTTAGTTTGAAGATAATATATTTTAAAACAATAGTAACACAACCCAAAATAACATAAACTAAGATAAAAATAATTTTAAATACTAGAGGGATCAGTGCAAAAAATAAAGAGCCTACATCACAATGTCACTGGACCCTCTACCTCTGCCAAATTCCTGAGTTGATCTTCATTTGTTCCATCCATCTTACCTCGTCAGAAGCCCTCTTCTCCAGACCAGCTGAGTATCATTTGAGAAAAATCAAATAATCACAGCACTAATTAATTCACTGAATGTTTAGCAAGTATTGCTGGTATCTGTTTCATAGTTGTTGCTAAAATGACCTTATCCCTTCTGAATCCCCCATTATTATTCCAGGTCACACTATTTCCATTTCACTGAAAAGTTTGAGACTATCTAATGTGAACTCATCTACCTCCCCATTCTCCATTAATAATCACATCTGTATCTTTGTCTACTTTTTACTTCCTGTCACGTGCCTCAAATCAGCCCAGCTGAGACCAGTGAGTACTGTGGGATGGACTGAACAGGAGGCATCCAGAGCTATAGCTAGCATCTCCATAAAATCAGAAGTGGTTTTCGAAAAGGCCAGATAGCAAGTGCTTAACATAGTCATTCAAGCAGAATTAGAAAATAAAATCTGAAAAGTAAGGTGACACAGTAATTCTATCTAACGTTAGAATGAAGATTTAGTTTAAAAAAAAAAAAACAATGACAGCATTGCCTTCCAGAGCATAAAGACAACAAAACCAGAAATTGGTAACACTCAGCCAGGCATGTATACCAGCTAGGCATGATGGTAATCTCAGCACTTGCCAGCCTGGGCTGCAAAGTAAGTTTAAGGCCAGCCTGAACTGCATAGTGAAACCATCTCAAAAAAAGGAAGAGAAAAAAGAACATAAGGAGCAGGGAGAGGGGAGGGAGACAAGAGAGGAGAAAAATAAACTGGTAGTATTTGCAGGAAGTCAAGCCAAAGATTACAGTTAGAGAGACATTCACCAAATAAGAGGTGAGTAACAGATCCCTAATAAAGGATTAGCAAAAGCTAAGTGATACACCAGTAAATGTCACATCCCTGGCTCTCGGAGGAAAATTTTCTAATTTGTGGCATCTGCCAATTTTTAAGTAGGGATACCTTGGCAACTTCACACTCCCGAAATGACATCATAGAATGCAGAGTAGGGCAAAGATAAGTAGTAGCACCATTATACAGTTTTCCACAATACAGATTTAACATACTTAAACTTAAGAGCAAGATATGGTTTAAGAGATTACAAGCATTTAACAAAGTGTTTGAAAAACACACACCTCTTTTTAAGGAGAGCATAATTTAAGGATTTGGGGGTTATTCTTTTCTAAATGTAGAAAGTTGTTTTATAGGAAAAGAATATTTATTCCAATGTTTTTCATTTCCTATATTCTCCTTAAAAAATTGAACACTTCTCTCTCTCTTGGACTAAAATAAAGAACCAAACTCAATATGGATATCATAAGATTTTCTCTAACACCAATTTGTTTATATTAATAAAAAAGTTTCATATACATTTATGAAATGTTTCTAAATTTTCAGCTGCACATCTTAAAGACCTATAACACAAATGAAAACAGAAGTAAACATTCTGGTGGCACTGACTAGAAATAACATACCAGTTCCAACTAAAACCATAAAAATGGGGCAAGTTTTCAAAAATTCATATATTTCATAAATTCACACAAAATAAAAATATAGTTTCTGAGAAACTCCTAACAATAAAAAAATTACAAACCCAGACAGATTTATGCCTTAAGTAACAACCTGCTAACATATCAAAATAGCCAAAATTAACTAGAAATTCATTTGGCATGTAAAAATTGTTAGGATTTTTTCACATAATAGCGTAATAAATTTATGAGTATAATGTAACACTTCCTTTTACAGTATTAAAATAAAAAATAAATAGTTCCTAACACATTCCTTTCATTTAACTTACCAATAACTATTTTTGGTCTTTCTTGGCATCCTTGTAAGAGGAGGATCCAGACATCCAAGATGGTAATGAAGTTTACAGGTGTCACACAATAGAAGAAGATGTTGATCATGGTTCTTCTTACAAATTCCACAACTTTAAAGTAAATGCAGTAAATAAGATTAGATAAATTGTAATAGTGACACATAACCCAATTCAACATTTCAAATATTTGAATTTTAATCTGAATTAACATTTCTTTGTTATGACGAACATTTCTTATAAAACAGGCCTTTTTATAATGTAAGTATCTATTAGTTATAAATACCTGTGAAAGTGTTAAAACATGGTGTGGATCTAGTATGAACTCGAGTCAAACCTTTCAAAGAAGGGCAAATGTAAACTATTTATTCTCCATGTCATCTTAATTTTAATTAGTAGCAAAAATTCATTTAAAACTGGTTGCATTTTTGGGAAACAATTATCTGAACCAAATATTTTTCACTCTTCTAAAACATCTCCAACAACTGCAAAATTACTTCACAAATGACATTCAGTTTATTGTCTGTTAATTATAAACCTTTCAAAGAACACAAAAATAAGCTACATATGTAAATAAGTCTATTCAAAATCAGATTTTAAGTCTTTAAAATATTTAACTGATATTTGAAAATATTTGAAAGTTTTACAATTATTACTATTAATTTTCTTTGGTTTTTTAAAATCTAACACTTTTGTGGACAAGACAAGCTGTTGAGAACTTGAGCACCATGATCTCAGTACTTAACATATAAATATCTACATTGGCAATGTGAGGGGGAAAGTTGTTGAGAACTAGAAAAACCATTCATGTACAGAAAGAACAAAAGAACAATGAAATTTGGATTTACTTTCAATATTTATTCAGTATTTACTTTAATTTTTAAAAACTTAATTATTTAAACTTAATATTTATTTTAATATTCCCAGAAAAACAAAACAACCAAGATCTGATCTCAGGGTAAAACAGAAAAATCACTTAAAAATTACGCTGAAACAAAAATGAATTGTAGTCCTAAAAGTCAGTTGTATGGTGATATGCCTGATGATTTCAAATAAACTACGTTTGGGAAAACATCACTCATTACATAGTAATGCTCACATCATTCATTAAGACAATAATAGGCTTTTCCTATGAAGTTATTTGCTAGACTTATGAAACTCCCTAATAAAGAATGGCAAGTTGTTAAGGAGATTGATACTATCATAATGCTGCTATTTCTAAGACAACAGTTTTGGGAAGAACGTGTGTATATATGTAGGTGTTATTTGTGTACATGTAGATGTGTATATATGTGTGCAACTGTATATATATGTACATATGCATGCAAATACACAACTGCATTTTCTAAACTAATATAACAACACAAAAAAGTCAGATTTTTGACTGTAAAATTACTATAATAAACATTATAACAATATTTCTAGATGGTGTAATTGCAAAATTACTGCAAATGAACAAAGAAAAACATACATGCAGACTCAAATAAAAATCTATCTTCATTATATACTACCTATAAAGAAAAAAGATTCAGACATTCTATATGGTATCCATCACTATCTAAAAACACAAACTTTATAATTCAAATAAAATATAAATTTCTACTTATTATGTCATTTTTAATTATTTAAGACAAAAACACATTTTTAAGCATCATATTCCAATTCCCTAAATAGAATTACTCCCATGGAACTTATACAGACATATGCCCAGGTATTGAAAGATGCAAAAAGTCACTTCTCTTATTAAAGAATAACAAAAATCTATCATTTGACATAGAAAGTATCTTTGATAAGGTTAATATCAAATCCACTTAAATTCTGACCTGGATGTAATTCTCAAAAAAATATTAAGTGTCTTCTTTCTGGTAATTATTAGCGAACAATAAATTCATTACTTGCCTATAAAGCACTGTAGGAAGAGTAGATGTCTTTTGTGTGCCTCCTTCTTTTTTACTTGGTTTTCTCTCCTTGGGTGCTCGCAAAATTGCCGGTATGTTCAACTTCTATTAATTTGAACAAATGCAGTATATATTGTTTTAAGGATGAAATATAAAGCAACATTTTCCTCTACTTGCCACTTGAGTGAGCTAAATATGCTAGAATTGTGAGGGAGAAATCTGCTTTACGAGCTATTACACTGCCAAAAAGAAATAAAAGAGGAGTTTTTGTCTAACAGTTTCTTCCATTAGAAACCTATAATTGCACACTTTTATCAATTTTCTGTGGTACACTAAAACATTATGAAAATTAAATTGCTTTAGTTTGAAAAGTGAAAGACAAGGACAAGCATACAGGGGCTTAAAAATAACATAGTACACTTGACAAAAAGAATATTGAGGTCGTTTATTTTCCTCAACATCCCAGGTATACTGGTGCTCCATAGGTTAATTAAAAAAATTATCTTATTGGACCAAACTCTCCAACAAAGCGGATGAGACTCTCTTTGGGTTTCTACTAATCTGTAGTATGTTGGCTTCTTAGACAGCAACCATCTATCAAAGTCATTTCTTAGTAACCCAGTGGGCCACATTTGTTCAGCCAGCTGGAAAAAAGTATTATGCAAACAGTGTAAATGAATTCTACTTCTGCTGTGCATTTTATAACTGCACAAGGAAATTCACAAACCTCTGTGAAAAGTCACTTAATAAATAAAAATATCTTTTATAATAGCTAATATTTTATACTAAGTAGGAAGTCCCTAAGAGACAGACTTGCAAATAAAGCAAATAAACTTAAGACCTTGTACTCAACATTACATTTTCTAAATATCAAATATTAAATAATATAATCTTCCAAACATCTATCAACCTATCAGTAGCAACAAAGATTAATTCTTCCAAAGGCAACTATTCTTCATTCTCACCTTGAAAAATAAATTACTACAAGTCACATACACAACACAGGTTACACACACAAAAAAACTTCAACATTAGCACAGCTCAGTACAAATCAGTATGTATTACTTCATAAAATAACATATTTATACAAGTTGTACCATGAATTTGACTTCTGTAAACATATGAAACAAGCGCAATGAAAGTATCTGTTCTTTGAATGGTTTCTTTTGCAAAAAAAAAAAAAAAAAAATTACTTTTGAAGTGAAAGAACCATAAAGAGTGGGTATCCATCATCCCTAAAAAAAATGAAATTATTTGCAAAAAGCTGCAATGTATCACAGTACACATACAGTAAAAGGCATTCAAAAATTCTATTTGGCAGTATTCTTTTCAACAATTAAGGACTTCAACAGCTTAAAAACGTTCAAAGATAAGACTTTAAAAGTGTAACATTTGACCCTCAGGTTCATAAGTGTGATGATTGGGTGCTCATGCTCCATGCATGACATGTGCCTCCTTTGAACCTTGTTACGACCTCAGCACATTACCCATCTGACGTGGAAAAAAAAAAAAAGTATAACATTTAAATTTCCAAACCTATCTATTAACAGCTAAAAACCAAACATGACAATGAATCTTTCTAGTCTATATTTTAAGTTTTACATCCAGATAAAATGATCACCTAAAACACAGCACAATAAGAAAAAAACAAAATGGCAAAGACTCAAAGTCTGCTAAATTAAAAAAAAAAAAAAAAAACGTAGTAAAAGAAACTATTTTTCAAATCTTAGCTCATCACAAATGACGGTCAGTCACATGCAGCAAATGAAAAAAGTCTGCAAACAAGACAGACTTGAAACAATCAAATTAAGACAGACAGGTTTTCAGTAAGTGCTTCCTGTGTGCTAGATGCATTTGACGCAGAAATCATTATCAGATCTAGGATACTGGCTCTGCTAAAACAGAATCCTTCATCTGTGTCAGAATGATAAATAGACAGCAAGAATTAAACAGAGCAATTGAAAAAATACTAACCTGTCCTGTAATTCTGCCCAGTAAGGCCCATATTCCTTGCCCTTCACTTCGAAGCTTTCCATTCAAGTTTTGTAGTTCTTCTAAAGACTCACACAGCTACAAAGTGAGCAAGGCAAATTATCAATAACTGGCCAAGGACATCTACAACTATATCCATATATTTGTAAGATATTCACAACACTATATACTAAAACAATGCTATCCAATTATTAAGCAGCATCAACAGAATGTAAATATTTTGTGCTGGGATTTTTATTGATACACACACATTTCATTACAGTTGCTATAAAATTTCACACATACTCTGCTAATTAATCATTAGCTCTATCAAGATGCATTTCCATCATCTATCACATGAGAAAACTAAGATTCAGAGTTTCTGTGAATTGGCAGACATCACTGAACTACAGGAATCCTTTGGTCTTCTGAATCTAATTTCACTTTGCACTATAATGTGGCTGATGACTGAGACTTCCTACTGATTTGTTTAATCACTTAAAATGCTTTTTTTAAAATAATCAGTAGCCAGGAGATTCCATCTCCCCGAAAGAATGGCTACTGTCAAGAAGTCCACCAATAACAAATGCTCGCAGGGCTGTGGGGACAAGCAAACCTTCACTGTTTGTGGAAGCAGAGACTGGTACAGTCACCATGGAAATTAGTGTGGAGATATCTCAAAAAGAGGTTCCATTCAACTTAAGTATTCTCCTTGTCATTTTCCCAAAAGAATAAAAAGCATCATACCACAGCAATACACACACAGCTATGTTTATAGCCACACAGCCTGTAACAGCTAAATCTTGGAAACAGCCCAAATGCTCATCAACTAAAATGAATAAAGGTGACGTGGGTTTTTTTTAATACAATGGAACACTACTCTGCCATAAAGAAGGATAAGCTTGAAATATTTCTAGTTTAATGGATGCACTTTGAAGCCATTCTTTTTTTTTTTTTTTTTTTGGTTTGGTACCAGGAATCAAACTCAGGACCTCACGCTACCAGGCAGGTACTATGACCTACTGAGCTACATCCTGAGGCTGAGACCATCGTCTTTAATGAAATAAATCAGACACTCTTTAACTACAATGTGTGTTTTAAGAAACCAAAAGTGTAAATAAGGACCAAAATATATAATAGATATTGTTAGACAGGGAGAATATGTGAAAATGGGAAGGAGAGCTAGCAAGAAGGGAAGGGGAAAGGAAGAAAGGGAAAAGAAAAAAAGGCAAGGCAAAAAAAGCTTTTTTAAATAAAGAGAGGAGGAAGGATTGAGGGAGGGTAAGCAAATGGGGGGGGGTCAAGTTATATTATGTACAGCTGCAAATTTCCTGAAATAAATGTGATCATTATTTATATCTAAAATGTACCAATAAACTTAATTTTGTAAAGTGGCGGGGTGACCCAATAAGTCAGCCAGGCATGGTAGCACATGCCTGTAATCCCAGCACTCAGGAAGACATCTTGCTTTTATGTGATTTTTTTTAAATGTCCCTCATCATTAGAAGAAGTAATAATGAAAATTTAAATTGGAAAGACAATTGTTTTAAATTAAAGGTAACATCATAATTGGAGATTAAAAACAGTAATTGAAAACTTTTTACATCTACAAGCTTAGAAGCTCTATAATACATTGTATAATTTAGAATAAGAACTTGAGTCAGACGTCTTAGCCTCAAACTCTGGTTCTGTGACTTAACTACATGTGAGCCTGGGCAAATGACATTCTTCAGGACTCAGTTTCTTCCTCTAAAAGTGGGAACATTAATCATAAGCCACACAATGGAATTCATATGAGGATTAGCTACTATATGTGAAGACAGCAGAATTGCACCTGACATATACAAAAAGTTCAGGAAAAGACAATGATGATAATGAAAGGTAGGAGAAATGGGTAATTGTTCTGGAATTTCAAAACAGAAATGCCACAAAATCACAGAAGAAATCAAGTCTTGTTATGCTTTCTGTTTTGTAGCCAACTTACCTTATTATATTCCACATGCAGCTTTTCTTGCTCGTTCTCTAATTTATCCTTTATATTCTTTTGTTCAGCCATATTTTCCTGAATTTGAATCATACGCATATTTCTCTCTATTTAAATTAAATATCCAATTTTACTTTAGTACCAAGTAAAACCTGACACAAGAAATATACAAAATACTATCCATACAGATGATCACATGGATAAATCTATATTGTTGCAACACTTTTAAATATACAGAAAAAAACATGAACCTACAATTTTACAAAAGCCAATAACTTAGGAAAATAACATGCCTTATTTGACACAGATAACAGGGCCAATGAATTTCTAAAATTTATCAGTATTATCAACTATTCATTAGCAACTGTTCTCATTGAAAATGTGCATGTAGCAGTATCCATACTGACCAAAATAATAATTCACAAAATCAGCAGTGAGAGCTGGTTGCTTATGTTTTCTCCTTCCATCCACACTAGAGCTAGTATCTGAATTGTCCACTGGAAAGATATCTGTACTGATCCCCATTAGTTCTGCTTTCCGCATCAGTTTACGAATAGCTGAAGCACTACTAGTGAGCGGTCTGGGCAATTTTTCCCTTGGAACCCAGGCCTGGGGTCTGGTGGATCGAGCTAGTTCTGCCTTGGCACGATACTGCTGAAGCCGGGCATTGATCCTTGCCTATAAAAGAAATGTACATAAATTTTAAAATTTAATAAAACGGAACACAGCCCTGATGATTTTTACCTCTGTGCTCCAAAAAAGTAAGGATAACTATAATCTCTTAATAAAGCCAAATTATATTTATCTATGGTCCCCAAATATCAAGGTATACCACAAAGTTCTTGAGTTTCAACAATCTACAGCCACACCTAGTAACAACTGTCGCACTTTATGATCAGCATTGTGAGAAACTAATTTGATTAAGTTGAACTTTTCCCAATAACTACAATAGTCTCTCCAGATTGACTTACTGTACATAGAAAACCATTTTAAATGATGAACAAACTCACCAAATTCTCTGCATAAGTGGAAACTAGACTGAAAAATACCTGTTCAATATATTATGCTCTAAGTTTCCTCTAAGCCATATTTTTCAATATGGAAATATACTTTATAAATAGCTGCTCTACTGACTTCCTGAGAAGAAACATACTCAACTACACCCTACTCACCACTTACCTCAACCATAAAGCAGTTCTTAGATAACTAAGAAAATCTCACAATTATATTTCACATGTTTATTGGCAAACACGTAAGATCGGTAATCTATAATCTTAACAGGAAAATAGTTTTGGCATGATCCTCATACCTGTGCTTCTGGTGAGAGCTGTTTCTCTCTCTCTTGCAAAGACATTTTACAATAGGATTGCAGAGCCAAGTAGTTTTTTCTCTTCCACTTTCTGTCCAAACGATCTGCATGTTGCTTACAATAAGCAAAAAATGGATCTGCTATATCCTATACAAAAAAAGAGAGGGGGAACATTTTAACTTCAAAATGTAATTTAAAAAACCTAACAGCAAAGAAAAACTTCTTTCTTTGAAGAGTGTCCTAGTTTTGGATAATTTCACAATAAACTCTAGAAGTAATTTTTGTACATTATGATAGATTTCTGCTTTAAAAACAAACCAATATAGCAAATTCAAATTTCAACTAAGCTATTTTTTTCCCCCTTAAAGAAGCTGAAGGTATAACTTAGTAGCAGAGAACTTGCTTAGCATGCCTAGGGCCCTAAATTAATCCCCAGCACTGCAAAAAAGATAAAAAGAAAATAAAGGACCTCGTGGATTTACAAATATTGAAAGCAAATCTTATGCATTACTTGGATGTATGTGTATATCTCAAAAAAACCTCAGTTTTAAAAAATCAAGATTTAATAACAGAAACAAGAAATACTGAAGTTCTATATGTATCGATTAATACTGCAAAGCAACAATTCTATATATTCAAAACTACAGGACTACCAAAGACAGACAATTCTAACTGGTTAGTAATGCATGGACAGATTCTCCCCAAGGGAAAGAAGATTAAGAAGGCCAAACCCTGATACTAATACAAGTTAGGTTTCTGTCTTATATCCTTACATAACTTCAAATGGGAATATAGTTCTCTCTCATGTACTAGCCATAATGTGTATTTTATTTTTCATAAAAAGTAGGGTGCAAAAGAATTTATTCAATCAAAAACAGAAATAATTTAAAGATGTTACCAAAAAAAATTAATTTGCAATGTGGCCATTATCAAAATAAATAGTTCATTCTTAAGTCTTTCCCAAGGAGGATCAGTAAACTATCCATATAGTTTTATTTAAGTTATTTTAAAAGGGTTTCTTAGTAAAATAAGGATTTATAATCCAAAGAAAAACAACACTAATAAAGAGGCACACGTAAGAAAGAATAGAAAATAATAATTTTTAAAATCTAATGTGTCCTTAACATTAAAAAAAAAAAGAAGCATAAGGAAATTCTGTAGTATGCTAGCCACAGATGTCACAGTATACAGTCTAGTACTACTTATAAGATCACAAAATTTTGGGATAAAAAACCTCAATATAAATCTATGTGCCACCAGTTACTATTTCAACTTCAAAAAAATTGTTCAACATCTGTGGGCATCAGTGCCTCATTAGTAAAACAGGCCTCAATAATCACATCATAGAGCTATCAAAACAAAATACAAAAACGTAAGTTAGGAGACTGCATTAACATACATTCACAGGCACACATCACTGCTTTCTACTGATGTGTTCCAAACCTTGATGAAAACTGCTAACTACAAATAAATGTCGAATGAGATCTCCGCCCAAACACCCAGATTTACATAGTTACTCTTTTTTTTAAGATAAGTGAAGTTGAAACTGAATTGTTAGGAACAGAGGGCATACTTTCGTATATGAGGTAAACATAAGGACCAAGATTACATACTTATCAAGTAATCTATTTAGAAGTGCAGTGGGCATCTTGAACCCATCCTGTCGAAAAGTGTGCTCAATTTCACTTTCTCCTATAGTGAGTCTGCTCCTCCTTCTCCAACTCAGTAAACTGCAAATCAGCTCTACCAGACACTCAAGCCTAGGTCATAACAACTTGATTCTTCTCCATTATACTCTACAGTCTATTAGCAAGTCTACAAACTCTGTCATATATATCTCTATTACTTGCACCCTTTAGTCTGTGCAACAGCTTCCTAACTAGTCTCCATTCTACCACCCTTGCATACCCATGATTTACATGGAACACAATAATCAGAGCAGTCCTTTTAAATCTTTGGTCAATTCATATCTACACTATGTAAAATTCACAGCTTCCATTCAACTTGAAGTAAAAACCCAAAGTCCTTCCCATGTTCCTTTAGGTGCTGCATTATGTCCTCCTGTTCTCTCCATGATTCCTTCCTTCTCCGTTACCAATCTAAGCCCCTAACACTGTTATAGTAACCACTGTCTGTTTCCCATCTCAGGACCTTTGCATATGCTAGTCCTGCTGTGTCTAAGACTCTCCCCACAAATTCATGTCACTTATCACTCTTCCGCTTACTTTTATAAATGTAATCTTACTAGAAAGTCTTTTCATCATCTTAATATCCTTCTTTCTTTATTCTCTACTTTTTCTTACTTTAAAATATGAAAAGGTTGGGCTGGAGGTTTAGCTCAGCAGCATAAGCGCCTGCCTTGGAAGCAGGCAGTCGTGAGTTCGATCCCTGGTACCAATAAAAAGGAAAAAGACAAAAAAAAAAAAAAAATATGAAAAGGTGGTTAGCTACCTTTAGGAGCACTGGGAGCAGGGCAAGCATACCTGTAGTCCCAGCACTGTGAGAGGCAGGAGGTTTGCTTTGAGTTTGAGGTAGCCTAAGCTACATTATGAGTTCAAGAGCAACCTGAACTACACAGTAAGACTCTGTTTCAAAAAAAAAAAAAAAAAACCAAACAAGCAATACATAAATAAATATAAATTAGCTAAAATAAAAGAAAGATAGGCCTAAAATGGAGCTAAAGTTTTTATTCTTACCGGGAAACATTTTATTTCTATCATTTTTGTCCATACTCAGCACTTGTCCATACTCAGCATTTTTTATGGTTCTGTTTACTAGTTTCTTCACTTAGGAAGACACTGGTCCTCAAAGTGACATGTATATATCCTTACAGATTCCTCTGTCCCAATACTGGCTCACTCCTCTGCACATAAACCTAGGTTCTCAATCACAATGAATGAATGGTTTCACAGAGTACTGTAATTCTACCTTTAAATATGGATTGTACTGTCTATCAAAGTTTGTCACTCTTTGATACAACTTGACAGATGTCATCATTTGGACATGGAAACGCCCCCCAAAGTCTATGTGTTAAAGCCTCGGTCACCACCTTGGTGCTGCTCAAAGTGGTGGGAACTTTGAGAGGCGGGACTTTGTAGGTGAAGGCAACAGCAGCTCATTCCTGCATGGGACTGCAGAACGCTCGTCCTCTCCCTGCTAGGACGAAAGCAGCTGTACTCCATTACACACTCCAATCACAATGCGCCATCAAAGGCCAAAGTCACAAGGCCCAATGATCAGTCATGGGCTGTAAACTAAAACTGCAAGCCAAAATAAAACTCTTCAGTTTATAAACTGATTTTCTCAAGTATTTACTAAGAGTATGGAAGCCAACTAGTATACATGGATCTTAGAACATGAATTCAATAGCCACTATTGTACAGTTGAAGCTCAACCTATAATGACTCAAAATTTTTTCATTTTATGATGATACAAAAGCCATTTACATTCAGTAGAAACCACACTTTGAATTTTGATCCTTTCCTAGGCTAGCAATATAGATATAATAGTCTCACAATATTAGAAGCAGTGGTGATGAATCACAGCTTCCAGCCAGCACATGAACAGGTGAGTACCACGTTGCCAAGCTCTGATGTTCAACAAGTTATGTTTATTAATCATCTGTTCAACTTACAATTATTTTCAGCTTATGACGTTCTTACCAGGAGGTAACCCCATGATAAATGAACAGCATCTCTATCCTTGCTCCATAAATACTAGGTGAATTATGTTTGTGGACTAACATATAATATGGTGAATCAAACGCAGAATGACCAATTAATTTTTAAATTAATTTTTAAAAATTAATTAAAATTCATTAATCTGCAACCATTCAATAGCTAAAGTAACAACTGCAGAATTGTAGAGATCTTTTATGATTCTTTTCCTATCCTACAGTTATAGTTTATTTCTTAAGTCTGCAGTCAAGTCTGAAATTTCAAGATAACAAAGACTAAAAAAGTAAACTATATGTTTGAACAAGTTATCATTAATTTGCCATGCCAGTACTTGAAAATTTTAGGAAATTTCAGACATAAAAACAATTTTAAGTGTAAATACAGTGTCCAGATGCTGGAAGCCCAGAAACCAAAAGAGAAAAATAAATTTGCCAATACATATACTTTATCCTTTAAAGGTATGCACCACATAAAAAACCAAGCCAGTAGCTATTTAGTATTTCTTCCTGCATAAATTATCAATTTATATTCTCACCCACAGCATGAGAGGCTTTTAATTTTGCCATCCCCTCAGCAATGCTTGTCACTTTCCTTTTGTTGCAAAGCTGTAGCCAACCTAATGGGCATGAGATAGATCTCATTGTGATTTTGATTTCCTTACAGATTAGTGATGTTGAACACCTTTGTCTGCATACTGGTCATGGGTTTATCTTCTTTTGCTTACTTTTCTAAGCAGGCTTTTTGGGTTTTGTTACTGAGTATTTAGCACTCTTCACACATTCTGGATAATAACCCTTTATCACATGTATAATATGAAAGATTCTCTCCCACTTTGTGGGATCACCTTTTTATTATACCAATTAAGGCTGAAATATTTTAATCACTTTTTTCAGTGCCAAGGATTGAACCCAAGTTCTCATGCCTGCTAGGTAAGCCCTCTACCACTCAGCTTCATCTCAGTCCTATTTTATCAATTCATGAGCCACTCACATATTCAGGAAATGTACCTACAATTTTGATAAATTAAATATAAATTTATATTAAACACGTTACTGTATTTTGGATTATATTTTTATAAACTAATTTTAAATATATAGTAGTTTTTAGCTCTCATAAAAATATATTTTTATTCACCTTTACATTAAAAAAACTAACACTCCAGGAAAGAAGCCTTGCCTTTCTATTCCCATAAGCCAGCAGAGGCCACATAGGCCAGAAGAGAACCAGGAAGGAAGCCACTCCACCACACACAGCAGGGAGAAAAAATGAAATTCCCTGTCCTCCTCCTTAAGCAACAGGCTGCTTCTGAGGAACACAGGCTGAGATGATAACAACTGAAGTTAAAAAACAACCTAGCACTTGTATTGTCTGATTGACTTCGCAAACCTAAAGCTGGTAGTTTGAGCAACTATTCAGAGGATAACAATATGCAATGTAGTAACTATGGTGGATTCCCTACTGTTTTATTTT